CCTCCTCCTCCTCCTCCTCCTCCTCCTCCTCCTCCTCCTCCTCCTCCTCCTCCTCCTCCTCCTCCTCCTCCTCCTCATCTGCTTCTTCTTCTTCTCTTGTCTTCTTTTCATCCCTTGTCAGCCTCGTCATCATCCACCTCCACTACTGGCTTCCTTCTTTCCTGCCCTCTTGTCTGCCTCCTTTCTTACTTGCCTACCTGCTTTTGTGCCCACCCACTCCTCTGTCACCGTGCCCCTACCACCTCACTCATTGTCATCACAACCGCCTTCTGCGGATAGTCAGATGGATAGACAGATAGACAAACAGACGGATGGATGGATGGATGGATGGATGGGTGGATGGAGGGATGGAAAGAAGGATGGACAGTAGAATGCATGAGGATAATTGTGGCAGCTTTCGACCAACTGCCAACTGCACGGGTTTCTACTGTGGACATAATGCCACACACTCACAGACCAATAACTTCCTCTATTGGGACAATTTCATTCATGATCAGTCACCAGGGTCATTCACGAAATGAAATCGCCTTTGTCCACCAACCTGTCCACACGAGGCATCATAAAGAGAATATCGTTAATGGCACTTTGACACCCACCCTCCCACTCACCTACAACCCACCAACCCACCCACCCACCTACCTACCTACCCACACACGCACAAACACGTATATACGTGTGCATGTGTGCATGCCATCATTTGTAGGTGTGAAGTGGTCAAAGCGATACTCGGTGTTGGAGGACGTGGCACAACCCATCTTCTTAGTCAGGCGGCCGATTAATTTTGCATACGACTCCATTTCGACCGCTGCAATGAAGTTTGCCTCGATGCAGTAGGGGGAGGCGAGTTAACAGGAAGGTGCAAAAAGGCAGCGTGCAAACGTTGGAGAGGAAGGGTTGAGAGGTGGAGCAGAAGTGAGAGGCGGTCCTTTTTCTGTGATGCGACTGCGGCAGAGGGTGCACCATTCGGTTAGTGTGAGTGCTTTTTCTATTATTTTGGTTGCGGAGATGAAGCGGTTGACGTGGAGGTGGTTGGAGTAATTGGCGCAGTTGGTGCATCAAAGGGCAGAGTGAAAGTAAGGCAATTCATCAAGTCGTAGTTCATCTCTGTGGACAGCCGAAATTTGTGTTGTGGTGAGAGGTTGTGTTAATTTGGAGGTGGTGAGTCGGTGTTAGTAGTAAGTGGAGTAGATGAATTTGAGTGAGGAGTGGTAGTGGAGAAGATGTGGTCTAGCAAGTAGACTGAATGCGAACCAGTTGTGATGGTGGATACGTGGGTTGAAATGCACCTTTATTGGCTGTAATGTGGCTGGTGAACTTCTGCTGTGGTCCATTTGTTGGGGGGGAATGAATGTTGTGAATGGAGAGAAGACGAACTTCGGAGGTATTGCGTGTAGATAGACCAAGGTTGATGTGGCAGC